CTGGGCCACCGGCCACCCGCAGCCCCGGGCTGGCCACCCCCGGCTCTGAGGCCTCCTCAGGGCTCCCTGGGCTCGGCCGCCCCCGGCCACCGGCCACCCCGCCGCCGACCTGCCGCCCGCCCAAGCGTCTCCCAGCCGCTGGGCACGCGGCTCTTGCCCCCTTCCTCGCCTCGTCGTTTGGGCAGAAGGTGGGTTTCCTTTGGCATGCTGTCGTTCCCCCCCGCCTCTGGCAAATGTTTGTGCGAAACGAGTCGGGAACAGGCGGAAAGCATTGAGGACATGCTCCTCAGCAGCACCAGGGTGCACGGACCCCTGGGCAAGTGAGCAAACAGCCCCAACCCAACCATACCAGCTCAGTACTGCTTTGCCATCAGGTCCTCTGAAATGACGGGGCCGCCTTTAACCTCATGAGTTTTACTCTTTGCTTTTTAAAAAAAAACAAAAATCGTCATCCTTTTTCTTTGCTGCTTTCTAAGCCTGCAGGCTGCGCTACCTTTGCATCACTAAGTTATTAAACACAAGCATCACTGCTGGTTAATTCCTTTGTAAAATGTGTAATGCAAAGCAGAGTGTCTCACCCCAAATCTGGCAACAGGGACTTGCAGGAGGCTTTTGTTTTGTTTTTAATTATTAGTTCATTAGGCTCTCAGTTGGGTCAGGTTCTAAACAGTTTTGTTTTCTGGTTTTCATTGTGGTTAGGAAAACAAAATGCATCTAGCTGGCTATATTTTTGTAGCTGGTGTTCTATTGGACTGACTGTAGCAATTAAAACTCTAAGGGTGCACAGAATATAGCAAGCCATGCAATAAAAATGGTGAGAATATGGGCAAAGTTGCAGTTAGGCTGTTTTGAATTATTTTCATTTGAATATGTTTGCTATGTCCAGCAGTATCCTAGTTCATATAAAACATCATGAATCGTTTATTTGAGTGGCTGCTGTTCCTTGCAGGTTGTTATTTCCCAAATAAACATGAAGAATGGTAGGAGTAAGCCCTTATCCCTCTGTCCCTCACAGTATTTCTCACCAGATCTTACATTTCAGAAGTCATTAAAAAACAGCCAAAGCAAACGTACATGTGCTTGCTAAGCCATGTGCGTTTAGTACACAGTTATTTGGCGTTCTTCTGTGGGGCTCTGGGATCTATTGTTATTGCTGAGTGCAAAACAGGTTCCACAAAAACATTTGGATGCATAAAAACCTAGACTCTCGAGGATATTGCAAACACTTCTATGTGGCATCCTACCGGGGCCATAAATTGGCTGAGCATTCACAAGCTCTGAGCTAAGAGGAAGGTCTGTGCACAAGGATGAACATTTGGAGAGCTCTTTCCTTCCCAGCTGCTGCTGAAAGATGCTAGGGCGGCTCTTGTGCAATCGCTGAGAAAGCGTGTTTGCGTGGGGGAGCAGGATGAGCTGCTGGAAGGTGATATAAGGCGCGCGGCAGGGAGAACGAGAAGGACCCGTGGGCAGTTGTGGGTGGATGAGCTTAGATTGGCCTGGCAATGGTGAGTAGAATGACAACAGATGAAATCTTTCTGTTGAGGATGTTGGTGGGATCTCTCAGGATCACTACTCATGAAGTCACAGATTTCTTTTCCTAGAAAGCAATTTGCAAGTAGGCAGCAACTCCTGTCTCCTTAAAAAGGCAGGCAGAGCTTCCTAAATCTGTCCAGATCATCATGCCGAGCTGGAGATGAAAGGGGTCATGATCCCATCACAGGGGGGCTCTTTGCCCAGTCCTTCCCGCCTGTGCAGAGGCAGCCAGGGCCAGGCTGGAGCACCCCCAGCTGCACAACCTTCCTGGCAGTTGGAATCAGTCTTCAGGGACTGTGCTTTGGGAGTAATGCCCTGCTGAGACAGGTGCTTCTACCTGGTGTTTTGGGTCTCAAGAGCTTTGCAAAGCAGGTAGCTTTGCTGCAATGACTAAGGAGCAAAGCTGGGAATAAATCCTCCTTGCCTAGATTTTTGGTGTTTGCAGCTGCTTCATATAGGCTGTGGGAATATACAGTTTGCTGCCAGATGGGGATGGAGGTTTTGCTCTTTACTTTGCCCTACTTTAAGCGCGCATGCAAAGTGCAGGGCAAAGGCAGATCGGAGCATTGCTCTAGCCACCAGCCCAAGCTGACTCATATCCATGTTTCTGATAAGGAGACTCCAGTTTCGAGGGCTCATCCAGCACCACAGTGTTAATTTCTCTAAAGAAACCTGTTATCTGACCTAGCAGGGGAGATTTGCTGGGGGAGGGAGTGAGACTTCATTGACTTTATCTGTGAGCAAGATAGAGGTGAGCTATAGGTTTTATAGCATACATTTTGGTTGTGTTCAAGGCTTTTTGTTTTAATCCCATTGTCTCCCTTGTTCTGAAAAAGGGTGACTGGAAAGGCAAGGATCCTCTTGCAAATTCTAAACTTCAAGAGAGAGCTATGGCAGTGGTGAGGAGAGTAGAAAACTCATTTCCTCTTTTGGGAGCCTGGATTTATGCCTCCACTGTGTGGTTTTACTCAAAGTGCTGTTTTGTACTGAAATACAGCTTTAACATTGTCAGCAGGGATGTGCTAACCTGAGATCTGGTTTCTCCCAACCCTTCTTTCTGACATAGCCCTTCAGGGTTCAGCTCTACACCATCTAAATTCAGGACAATATTTGGACCTTATCTTAGCCTAGTGGACTGAATGAGGGGTTTTGCCACCTGATTTCCAAAGGGGTTTTCCTGGCTCTTGCGCGTAGGAAATGGCTTTATGCCATTGAACTTGTAGTTATTACAGGAAATATAGTACAGAAATATAGTATGCTTGAGGGTTGGCTCTTTCTGAATGATTAACATCATCTCCAGCGAGCATGCTAGAAAACTGAGCAACCTGCTTCTTTTTACAGTATGGGACTGTGACATATTTGCTGCTGCTTCCTACCCTCTGTCTGGCTGTCTCTGAAGGCAACAAGAGTGAGTCGTCCTGTTTATTGTCCCTGCTGGGTTACAGCCAAGTAGTGTGGAAAGAAGAGGTCAAATCCTTACCTGATCTGTGTCTGGGTTGCTCGTTCAGGACACCACTGAAGCTGCTAAAGGGGGACAACAAAGTGATGCTCTGGAGGGCAGGAACTGGGAAGCCAGAGCAAAATAAGCAGACGCCTCAGGCACTCCATCCCAGCCATACATAGCCTAAAATCCATGGAGATGGGCACAGGCACTGCCCAGATTACAGACAAGGGAATTCAGCTGTGCTTAAAAGGGTCTGCCAAGTTCTCAGTCACACAAACATCCTTCTGGGCAAGCTGAGGTGGGAGGTTCTTCCTCAGATGTAATAGCACAGTGGCAATGTGACCCTGTTGTGGCTAGAAGCAGGTATCTCAGCCCTTGTGAGCTGGGCAGGGGGAATCACACTGCAGGGGGAGTTCACTCTAGTGCATCTTGTAGGGTAAATATTCTTGCTGCATTTCAACTTCCTCATATTGCTTTTGCTATAGCTGAACTGATGAGCCCAAAAGGCAGAAGGGAACAGTTTGCTATCCGCCTGAAGAGAAACCTGAATGCCTGCCTACCAAACCCATGCCAGCACCAGGGGGACTGCCAGGTGTTGGAGGACAGATCGATCTGCAACTGCAAACCAGGCTTCAGAGGGGCATTCTGCCAAGGTAAGGTAGGGGCTGGGGATGCCAGTGAGCCATTCCCAGTCTGTCCACAAGCACCAAAGGGAAGAGTGGAGGGGAGGATGCA